AAGAAGAAGAAAAGAAAACCAAGGACCCCGCAGCTCCAAGAGAGGTGCAAAGTTTAATGTCACTGCTTAGAACCTGGGCAGTGGGAGGACACGGCAGGAATCAGAGGCAGGTGGGTGAGTCTCACTACAGGGCTCCTCCTGCCCCAGCTTCTGGACCTTTCTATGGTTCATTTATAGCAGAAAGCAAGCCCATCTTGAGTTTGCATGGACCCTGCTAGAGGGGAGACATTTGGAAGCAGGTGGCTAAAGTGGGAGGAGGGTGGGCAGAGGAGCAGCTGTTTCTGGAAGCAAATCCAGACCCTGTTGAATTGAATCTGGCTCGGTAGCTCTCACCTGTTGAGGGCATGGAGACAGGCTGACTGTGTCTTGTGTTGTTAGGCAGTCTGTTTTTAGCTTCACACCTATACTCGTCCCCCTCTCCGGCTCTCTTCTTGGTGAAGTTAAATTCAGCAGGCTCCCTTACATCCTTGGAAATAACTGGTGAGATGGCGATATTTTTTTCAAAGAAAGTGTAATCGATGGGCAAAGAGCCGTTGGGCGAGATGCAGTGGAGTGTTAGCGTATACTGGCCTGCTTCTGTTTGAATGACACTAACGTTCAGGACCGGGACAGCCACTGGGTCTAGAGAGAGGAAAGTTCATGTGAAAGGCTGAGCAGATCAGGCTCACTCACTCGGGCCACTGACTGAACCCCTAGTCTATTCTAGACTGTAGACCCAGAGATGAATGAGACCCTTCTGGAGATGTCAAGGAGCTCACAGCATGATGGGAAAGACAGACAGGTATGTGCCTCACCCCATAGCGTGCCAGGAGCTGAGCACTGGGAAAGCCCACAGCTGGAGGCCATCTTTCTGCTTTGAGTGTCAGGGCACAAGCAGATCAGAATCCACCATCTGTTTATTGTTGATACGAGTGCCATTTTGTCAAAGATCCACTTCCAAGTGTGAAGCTGAGACATAGTTTAATTCTCAATCTTTACAAGGTTAGAGTGAGTTTTTTTTTTTCTTAAATCAAAGAAGTCCAAAAATATCATATTCTCTGTGTTTTCATTTACAGAATACAATGACATCATTATCTTTCACTTCCTCCAAAAATTCAGAAGTAGCTC